GACCAGGAATATTTGGGGTCACAAGTTTTTGCCATGGATATTTTGTGGGTCAGAACATAAAAGGTTTGGGAACCACTAATTTAAAGTTAAGAGAAACTTTACATTTGCATCTGTTCCTTGTTGGAAATTTGGAGGAATCCAGAACAAAACCAGACTAATGTTCGACCGGGACGTCTTTGATGGAAGTGAGATTAGAAACGTCTCCAGATTTAAAGCTCTTACTCCGTAGCGTTTGAAGAGAACATCCAGGTCCTCTGTAGTCTTACGAAACTTGTCGTCATTAAGAGGACTTTGATCGATCGAGTCTTCGCCGTCCGGCTCTGGACTGTCACATCCGTTGAAACCTTTCTTTCTTAAAGTCTAAAAAAAGTAAATCACACACAAGAGAGATGTCGATGAAATTGTGTTGTTTTAGATCAGTATGACGTTAGGAAATGTTTTTCCTTTGTGCATTCTTAAATCCCACTGAGGCTTAAGAGCTTATTCATGTTTCAGTTTTCTGCATTCATTTTTATTAATATTAGCTAAAAACACAACAGCACAATACATTATTTAATTACAACTGTTTTTGTGAGAGAAATAAACTTCGAGTCAACTTCTCCTCCGTTGGAATATTTGTAGTAAAATCTTGTAAAAGTAGTAGCAAACTACAAAACAAGCTAAATATAGTCGGCTGTGTTTGTGTTAGCTGGTTAAACAAAACCTAACACTCAACTAAGAGATAACAGGAGGTGGTTACGATGTTTCATCATTAACTCAGCGCCATTCTCATGACATTTCACATTTCATTTCTCGCTACTTCCACCCTTTAAATTCAACAATTCCCATCTGAGAATGCTTTTAAAACACGTTGCAAAAATCTAAGACAGAAAGGGAAGTTGATCCGAAAAACGGTTATGTAACATAATGCAAGAGTGTATGTCATAGTTTTAACTTCAGAATTAAAAGCACATTTCAGACGCTGTCCCAGACTTAATGAACAGTTGAAGTAATTTAACAATAACACATAAAACTTTGACTGAATTTTCTAAGATATTATAAAATATAAACAGGGTAGAACAGACTAACTAAAAACATATATCCTTTATTCCATTCTGCATCAAAATCTAAATGTTTTCACTGTGGGAAAAACATAAAGCTTAAAAGTTTTGACTTTTAAACTTTCAGATAAAAACCATTTTTTATTTATTATTATAGTGTAATTATTTCAGTTGTGTAACGTGGTTACATCTGACAGTTTACCATCTGTGTAGTACATTTAAATGTGCTATACTTCTGTCTAGTTTTTAGCATTTTATTAATACAACAAAAAACTTTTGCACTTTTGATACAGATGTTTGTTCATTTTTTCAAAGCTGGACATAACCTCCCACAGAGGATGTTATTCATTCCGTGCACATTACCGCAGGTTTCAGGTGATTTTACCAGTTGTTTTTTTTTTTTTATAAAAAGCCACACTGGTGACCACTTTGACATTAGCCTCAACATATCTGTCTAAAGCATCTTTGCAGTGCAGCCTTCAGGTTCAGGTCTCTGTGTGCATTACTTGTAAAAACGAGCACCTCAGATGTGGTGAACTTACCTCAATGATGTCTGCGTTGGTCCGGCTCTCGTGCGGTTCGTTGTATTCTGTGTATTTGAGCAGGACCTTGTCCATATCGGTGCTGGCATACTGGAACAGTTTGTTCGCGTGGTTGAAGATGATCAGGGCGATCTCGCAGTCACACAACACGCTCAGCTCGTAGGCTTTCTTCATCAAGCCGAACTTTCTCTTAGTGAACGTCACCTGAGAAGAGGGGAGAAAACGGGTTGTTGTAGAAATAAACCGGATTTCCTGGTGGGCTGACGGTGGAGTGATGGCTTTATTATTTCAATTTCATTTTCTAACAGAAGAAAAGGATCATATATACATCATTTAAACAATTAAATAAGTACGACATCCCAGCACTTGATGGTAAAAAGCAAAAAAAGGAAGGAGAGATCTAAGTGGTTGAGGCAAGGGATGAATGTAATAGAGACAAAGCTTGATTTTGATTGGCTGAAACAAAAATTAACTTTTTAAAGTATCCAGATCCAAACCTTGACGACTCAAAACAGCAGATTGATTAAACAAATAAACAGCACAGCATTTTTGTTACACAACACCGACTCACCTGCTTGTTCCTTTCATCAGTGATCCTTTGGATCTGAATCTTTTTCCTACCCATGATGCTTTGCGGTTGTGAAGACAAATGTTGGAGTCGGTCAAGTGGAAAAATGCCTCTCTGAAGATGAGAATGGAAGTGCAGCCGAAAACCACTCAAACACAGTCATGCATCCGATAACATACGTGCAGACGCATTTCTCTGTCCAGGTGTGGCGAGGCGACACGGTTGGCTCTCGAGCTGAAGAGCAGCGCGAGCGGACAGCGGGCGCTGCAGAGATATGTGACGTGGAGCAGAGGAAGAGCTCTTCAGTTCATATTTTATTCAGCGGGGACTGAAGTGTTCAGCGGCTGTGGTGAAGATGGACGTGGCTTCTCCCCTGCGTGACGAAAAGAAACAAAAACTTGACTCAAAAACACAAGACTGAACAATAACGTAATTAAAATTAAGCAATGATGATAACCTGCAGACGAAGATTAAAGTGCTGATCACAAGAAAAAAAATAAATAGTGCCAGCTAGTGCCCTGGTATCAGATCTACAGCAGATTCAACAGATACAGAATTAATGTGTCAATATTCAACTTCCCCAACACGATAAAATCTCTAACATTTCCAGGGATTGTTCATGTGTAAACAGGGCCTAAAGATTAGGAGAGGTCATGTGTTGCACATGCACAACACATGAGAAACAAACTGTGAAATCAAACATTTTAAAAGAGCATCCTGAACAAAATGCTGCAGTTTGAAAATGATTACTCCATTAGTTTCCAGAAATACTGATATTCAAATCTAAAATGTGGGTCCACACTCAATGTAAACAAAGCACTTGGACATTTTCATTCACTTTGGCTATTTTTGTAGGTAAAAAATATGTGGCAGTGAGTAACTTACTTTAAGTTTTTTTTTTCTTTTTTGACTAGTCTTCCTGATTTTGGGGGGTATTATGTATTTTCCAGGCACATATTTCAATTCTATACTACAATCAAATAACTATGTTACTTTCAGTTGTTCTGAAAATGCTGTTTATATCAAAAATAAATTTGACTTTGCATCAAAGCCATCTAAACGTCTTGAAATAGGAAACAAAAATGGCAATATGTTGAGTTTTACTGTGTATCATATGTATCGTTTCACTAAATTCTTGCCAATACACAGACCTAATTTTAACTATGTTCCTATTAAATCCACGTGCTGGTGACTGTATGAAATGTTGCTCAGTAAAGATGTTTACATGTGAATAATCTAGAGTCTGGAGTGATCAGATAATTAGACTGTTTATTCCTGCTATGTGATATCAACATGCATTGAACACCTGTCTGCTTGACATGCAAATAAACACCCAGTTTACAACACAAACAGTGAGTTGCTGGTGGCAACATTTAGCACCAATCCCTCTGCAAAACCGTATGGTTTTACATTCAAAATCACTATTGTGGTGTGAAAAAAAAAGAAAAGTTTCAAATCTGTGTAAACTGCATTATTATGTGTATTTTTCTGAGTTTAGTTTAAGCAATCATTTCAGGTGAGTAGGTTATTAGAGACCAAGATGGAATTTATTACCGGATGTCCACTTAAAAAAACAGCCAACAGGTCAGGGGGGGTAAGCAATTATTACACTATATCTAGACTTGTATTTACTCAAAAAGTCAATGAATCATTGATATTCATCCAATAATTACTTAATGAGTTTCATTGTAAACTGTAAAGTCCACCCTTTATGATGGTAGGTGATGAAAGTGGTTTGGGCACTTGATCCTACAAGAAATAACGTCTTTACAAAAAGATTATTTTTTTTTAATATTGTTTATACAGTATATTGATTATTTTCTAGTTCATCAATTGTTACACTGAAAAAAAAATATATAGGTAATTTACAGAAGCTGGAGCAGCAGTTCACCATTTTCCCTCTTGCTTAGTTGTGTCGAATGTGAAAACATGGTGCTGAAGAGACAGAATTTATTCACAGTAATACACTGTTTACTGCTGCACTTATCTCTCCTGCAGCGAGAGGTTTTAATATATCTACAACTGTGATTTATCCTCACAGTCAGACTGCATAATCAATCATATGTTAATCACAATTCCAGCATAAACATTGTGTTAAACTCAGTCAGGTGCAAGGATGGTGCGTTGCATTTAGGATGGCTGTTTTAATGAATTTAATCAAGCTCTGCCTACAGCTGAGAGGAGCAGTTTAACTTTTGATTAATTAGTGACAAGAAAAATCACATTTTAAAATCTATTTTCGGCTCCTCAGCTTCTGTGCTGCTGTTGATAAAAGAAAGAATACATTATCTGTAAGTCTCCTCTTTTAAAAAAAACGATATTAAATTAATCAAGAAATATTTAAAACATTAATTAGCTGCAGCTTAAAACCAATCTTCACCCATTATAGGTTCCACTTAGTTCACCTTAGGTCTTGATTAACCATTTTCATTGCTTTTTTTTTGCCTTTATATTCTTAATGGAGGCAAACAGCTCTTTCAAAAATAAGAATGAAGATGATGATTGCAAAGCTATTCTGCCCAGTATCATTACTTTATTCATTCATTCAGTAAACACTTCATGAGCGAATTTATTCATTAATGAACCATTCCACTGTCTTCTTCATAATGAACAAAGAAATGTGGTACAGGGTACGTAAATCACAAAGCAACTACTGCATTTACCCAACACTTGCAACCAAGCGACACTTCTACCGCAACTGGCCACCGAAAACAACTTCAGCACCTACCTAGCTCATTTAGAAAACACAACCTAAAGATTATAGCTGCACCTGCAGCTAAACCCAAACTAATACAGAAACCAAACCAACCACTGAAACAAAAACAATGTTTCCAACTAAACAACTACTGTGACTAAAAAGACGTGATGGATGCACCTATAGCTCGACAATTAAACTCATGAGCTATTTTACTAAAGTTCAAAAAACGTATATACTGGCATCTTGCATTTCTTTGCTTATTAGATTGAAAACCTATCAACTTAAACCCTAAATTTATCAGAACTATGTTATAAAAATTATGTTTAGGGTTAGTTTTCATCTACTGGGTATAGCACCACTAAAGAAAGATCTTCCCATTTACTTTTTTGTCCCCACACAGCCACTGTCCAAGTGTTAATGCCCCTAAAATTATGAGAGCAATGAACTATTTCTGACCATTTATATAAATAAACCATTCAAATACGGATTTAAAAGTTGAACACCAAACCAAAACAAACATTTATGCATAAAGGTTTGCCTAGCAAAGAACAACAAAACCATTTTTTTCCTGTCTCTGAACACCAAACAGGGGTAGACATAAGGATATTTTTCAGGTTGTCCACAAAACATTTTGGTTGTCTAAAATAATCTCAAGAAAAATGTAATTTAACAAGTATATTGTTCTGTAGACAAAGTTTATTATATAATAATTGTTCTCAGTAGGGCTGTGCATTGGCAAGAATTTGGCGATACAATACATATCATAACAGAGGGGTCACGATACGATATATCCCGATATATTGGGATACTGTAAGCGAGGCAATATATTGTGATATATTGCAATTTTAGGGCGGCACGGTGGCTCAGTTGGTAGAGCTGATGCCTCTCAGCAAGAAGGTCACCGGTTCAAATCCCGGTC